AAAAAAAAAAAAAAAAAAAAAGATTCTGGACACAGTATTTACTAACAAAGTTGTATTTATTCATTAAAGGAACCTTAGTTTGATATCTTCAAAATGAAAATAAAAAGACAGTTAACTGGAGTTAGTATTTTTACATGAGAATCATGTAAAAGTGAATGCAAAGTGAATCTTTGTAAATACTCTGACTTTCACTAAGTCAGGTCAGTTTTTATCCTACTAATATCTAGTGAGGATGCTATGCTATGTGTATGCCTTAGTGAATTTTATACAACAAAACTGTGTGCCTTTTATTCTAGCGATCAAGAAAGATAATATGTATACTGTTTTTGCAATACCCACTGTTTTCAGAAAATGATTCATTTTTTAAAAATATATCCTTTTTCTTAGAAAATCAACTTCTAGAAAGTCAGGGTTTCTATTTAATAAGTAAATTATAAACATTTATTTTGAATCATATGATGTACTTTAAGACCTATTTGACTTGTCTTGAACCCATCATCTGTAATGCTTTTGACTCTTATTTAACTTGAAAACGTTAATACCAATCACAAGATTGGTCTGTAAAACATAGAGTACCATTTTGGTGTTTTCACAAAAATAAATAACCTTAAAACTGTGATCTTTGGGCTAAAATATTTTTGTAGGTGTACAGAAGGTAGCTCCGGTCAAACTCCTTTTAAAAGTTTTAGCTAATGACATAGTGGGTTTCTGTACAGCTTTTTCATACTTCCTTAGCTTTAGTTAAACCTTCCCCTAATATTTTTAATTTTTATTTATTCTTTGACAATCTCATACAGTATATAATGTACTTTGATCACATTCACTCCCATTACCTTCTAGTCTTCCTTCCCACACTATCTAGAGCTCTTCTCAGGAAATCCACCTACTTTCATGGCTTCATTCTCTATGATTCAATCAGGGTTATTGTCATAAGCATGGGCGTAGGCTCATTTACTGATGCACAGGCAACTTAGCCATATTGATATCATCACTGAAGAAAAATGACTGCCCCTCCCCTATGACCATTAATTGCCAATAGCCTAGAACTGGCTATATAGACCAGGCTGGTTTACAGATGATGACTTTTGGCCTCCATTGGCCTAGGATAGTACCTTTCAGTACTGCCAACACTTGTCAGAAGTTAGGGCGTTTTCAGGTCAGTTCCAACTTGTTTTCTCTGTTAACTTTGGTTAACAGAGGTGTCTTTAGTAGTAGAGTACAAATTTCCAGTTCTAGTGGGTACCAACAGCAATGCCAATGGCCTGTGGGAGCCTCTGGGACTGTACTGACCAACAACTCACTAAATGGTATCCCTCTGGCACTGGGAATTTTGTTTAATAACCTGTGGCTTCTGGGAACAGGATTACCCACCCATGCAGATTACCCATCCATAAAAAGGTTTCCTTATTTTTATTTGTTAGTTTGGTGTGGCTTGGATGTCACTTTGTAGCTCTGGCTTGCTTGGAACTTGCTATATAGATCAAGCTGACCTCAAACTCACTGAGAATTGCCTGCCTCTGCCTCTTGGGTGCCATTGTTAAAGGTGTGGGCCACCACACCCAGCCTCAATTTTTTTAATTATGTTTTTTATACAGCTTATGAAGTAGATAGGTTTCCAAAAAGCTTTTCCATATCTTCTTAGTTTGAATTAAGCCTTCCTCCTACCCCCATCTTGGCTTAAACCTTTTCGCCCTCTATATTTCTTCCCTACATTCTGATCATATATGTTCTATTGCTTACCCTTCTAAAGGTCTCTTCCCCTTTACCCTCTCTTGGGCCTTTCTGACTTCATGGACTCTACAGACACTCCAAATTAGACACACAAATGTGAAAATTCAAAGCTACAATTGGCATATGAGAGAGAACATGCTTGCAGTGTTTGTCTTTCTGAGCCTGGATTACTCACTCAATGTATTTTCCAGTTCTATTCATTTCCTGTAGATGTAACCGTCTTTTTAAATAAGAAACACAGAGCCGATTGCAGAGTTAAAAAGCTCAAGAGGTCAAAGCAGTAGCTAAGAGCTAAAAACCTTACCCTTCACTGCTGCTGCAGTCCTCCTCAGCTAGAACACTACTTCCTGTGTGTCTGTCTTCTTATAGACTTTCTGTTCTGCCTTCTCATTGGTTGTAAACCCAACCACATGACCTCCTCATCACTGCCCATCTATACAGACCTCCAGATCTTCTGTGGTTGGCATTGAGATTAAAGGCATGTGTCTCCATGCTGGTGGTATCCTTGAACACACAGAGATCTGCCTGTCATGTGATTGGGATTAAGGTCGTATACTACCACTGCCAGACTTCTGCTATGGCTTGCTATTAGCTCTGATCCCCAGGCAACTTTATTTATTAACATACAAATAAAATCACATTTCAGCACAAATAAAATATCACCATAATTTCCTGCAAATTTCATTTTTTATTGTTGAATAAAATTTCATCATATATATGTACAACATTTTCATTATCCATTTATCAGTTGATAGACATCTAGGTTGATTCTATTTCTAAGCTATTGTAAATAAACAGCATAAAATATGGGTGAGCAAGCATCTCTGTAGTGGTATAGAGTCCTTGAGATATATGCCCAGGAGTGGTATAGGTGTCATATAGTAGCTTTTTTTTTTTTTTTCACTTTTTGAGAAACCCCTACACTGATTTCCATCGTGGTTGCACCAGTTTACACTCTCACCAACAGTGTATTGGATTGCCCTTCCCCACATTCTGGCCAGCATTTGTTGTCATTTGTTTTATTAATGGTAGCCTTTCTAACTGTGGCATCCAGGGGACTGCAGTCATCTGCAGTGTACAGCAGGTATTGTAAGCATGTTGAGAACGTTTAGATTGTTGTACAGATGGGTAGTTTTCTTAAAAGAAAAACATTTTATTTAATTGCTACTAGGGCTAGAAATTTTTCATAAAAATTGTGCTAACATCCTCTTATTGATGATTATTTTGCTAATTTCTGTGACCAAATACCTTACAAGAAGCAGCTGCTGGGAGGAGGGAGTCATGTT